TCTCTGTTTTCTCCCGATTTCTCGATTTGAACGCATTTAAAAAAATCGATATATTAAACGAGAATTTTCAATATATTGCAATACTGGGCGCATAAGCAGAAAGGTTGGTTTTGCGAATGATAAAGTGTGCAGCATTAGATGTAATTCGGTTTGCAACTTGTTAATTTTCAATTAAAAGCCTGCAAGTTTGATACAATTTACAGATTTGAGCTGAATTTCAAACTTGTAGAAATTAAGCGAGTCGTGAATCTATCCACATTCTGCATACTTAAGAATGTATAACTTAGCAGCCTTAGATCTGTTTCTGAGTTGGAGCAAAATTGCAGAAATTAAATCTAACGAAGTATTGCGAACATAAATATTAAGAAATCTTTTGGAAATATCAAAGTTTGCGGCTTTAGCTCTACTTCAGTTTGTGACTTACGAACTTTTAACCAAAGGAGAGCAAGTTTGCGGTTATTTCTGGATCTGAGAACAATCCCAAAACAGCTTTCACTCCAACGCTATACTGCACACCGAAGTGCAAATGCTTTTTTGCAAATGTTCACGTTATATCTAGCAAAGATCTGTTTCAGTTTGCAAATGGAAAATTTTTAACCAAAAACGTGCAAGTTTGCAACTCTTTTTCGATTAGAACGCCTTTTCTAAACATTCCAAAAACTAAACCGGAGTTGTGATTATAGGTATCGGAATTATCCACACCTGTGAACTAAGGCTTCTTTGACGAACTCCTTCTTTCGCAGCTTTTAGATCTGCTTCAGTTTGCCAGTTCAGAGATTTTAACCAAAAGCGCGCAGGTATGCGACTATTTCTGGATTTGAGCGCAATTTCAAAGAATTTATGAAATTAAACGAAAGTTTTTTAATTTATCGACATACTGCACACATAAGCACTAAAGCATCTTCTGCAAATGTCGTTGTGCAAGTTTGCGTCTATTTCTGAATTTGGGCACAATTTTTAAAATCCAGAAACAACAAGGGTTGGGGGTCTATCAAAATTCTGAAGACATACAACTAAGGACTCCTGGGCTAAACTTCGTAGCTGTTGATCTACTTCAGTTTACGAGTTGTGGATTTTTAGCCAAAAGTCTGCAAGTCTGCGACTACTTTTGAATGTTAGCACAATTTAAAAAAATTGCCAGAAATTAAACGAGAGATGCGAATCTAACAAAATTCTATATACTTGAGAACTAAGGCTTTTTGGCGAATGTCTTATTTACTGAAAAGGGCGCAAGTTTGCGACTATTTCTGGGTTTAAGCGCAATTTCACAATTGATGCAGATTCAATAAATGCAAAAGTAGAGATTTTTTCCGTTCCAAATGAAATTAAATTACTGACAAATTACCTAGTCCTTGTCAAGTAACGAAAAGTCGCAAACACAATACTTATCTTGAAATGAAATCGGGACATTCCATGATTATTGTCAAGCTTGTATTAATTGTAAAAACCTCTAGGGATTTTACCCAATTTGCCGCTAACACAAAACTGCATTTCACTATTGCCAATGAACATGATTGTAGGTACTTCCAAAAAACATTTAGCGGAGGCGATCATAAAAAATACGCTATAAGAATTTGCTTTATAGATTGCTACAATAATAGACCTTAAGTCAAGTGTAATAAATAATTTCGAAGTAAAATAAAATGTTTATTAAGTTGTGCACTGTCGAAAGCAGATTTATCGAAGCTTAAGTCAGCTATTCGGTTATGAAATTTTGCTGTGTTTTTCTAAGCAAAAACGAAGTCGATAGAAAATCAGCAATATCTCCGAGCTTCTATTACGCTTTCATATTTCACTCATTTATTAAAAGACGACTTGAAATCAATCCCGACCGATAATTTGTCATTCTCTTATCTACACCAAATGTCGTATCGCTTTAACATCAGGCTTGCAATAGAACTCTCCTTCTGTTTTCCGGCTTAGTCACCTCAAAGAGGAATCATTAATTAGCGGCGGTTTCCTCGCAAGGATTCAGGATTTCCTTCAAGATAAAGCGTATTGCCCGCGCCTTCAGCATCCGGCCCTGCAGACACTGGACAACAAAGCTGCTTTTCATTAACAGCTTTCAAGGTCTATTCTAATGATGTTTAATAATCAGCACTTGTGCTGTTGGGGATTAAAAACATGGGGAAAATAGTAGATTTTTTGAAAATTGCTATTGCGTCTTTAACAATGCAATTTCAGATAAGTCTACATAAACATTTCATTAGTGCAAACCAAAAAAATTTACTGCAAAAACACATAAAATAAAGCTTTGTCATATAAATATTTCGAACATTTTTCAGCGAATTAAACATCAATCCATTCTCAACATAATGTGTTGTCTTCTATTCTGAGGTTTAGTCCTCATTTTCCTTCCACATATTCTGAACAAAATTGGCAAAATTGAAACTCTCATTGAAAGTCGATTGTTTTCACTTTTCGTCTTTGAACCTTGATCCTTTTTCAACTTTTGTTTTATCTATCTGACCACTTCCGTCTTCCCAAAAAGTCAAAGCACATTTAGAAGTACGGATATTAAAGAATACAGTGCATTTGAAATTTTGAAACTGATGAAAATAAGCAGTGACAGTTTTTTCGTAGCAGTGATCAAATTAAGAATAAATACTATCTCTAAAGTTTTTTTCAATTTGATCTGTCTACGTTCCCTTATTATTCAACAATGAGAAGTTCGTATGTACACACTGGATTAGTGGAGTCCCATTATTGATCTAGATTTAAAGCAGAATATTTTATTAGCCGGCAATATCCAGGAACTTCTTCTCTTCTCCAATATACAAGATAAATATACCAATATCTCACTTCTTTATTACTCCTCAGCTCACGCACGTTTGCCCTAACCAACATTGATATGCTGCTGAGTTGCAAGCTGTTACTCAACAATCATCAAACTCAAATTAACTTGGTTCATTGTCTCAATGCATTCATGTTTATTAAATTTTATTATAATAACACAAAGTAATAATACATTCAAAAGAAGATCGCTAGTTAATAAAGGGCCTATTACAATCTTCTTCGTTTTCTCGCAAGTGCTATACGATAAGACGGGTATTATACCGCACTTTTGTCTTTATTTCTGGTTTTATGTTGTTAATTAGCTCAACCTCAATATGTTCTGGTTGGTGTGTTGTGAGGAGTGTCAGTGACTAAAATTTCCTAAAATTGTAGAAGCTTAAGTCTGTCAAAAGTAATACCAGTTTTTGTACTGCTGTTTTGGTCGATTTCGGTATCGATCGGTATTATGTGTAAAATAATTTTATAATTATTTCTCGTTAACCAAATGCCAAATTTTCTTTATGTATTAATTTCGCAAAACAACCACTACTTATTCAAATTTTCAAATTCGATGTGAAGATCATAACTGATGTTTGGATCTCGAAATAAAAACGCATTTTAATTTATCTGAAGTGGAACATAAGCAAACTACATTTATTCCGTTAGAACTTCGAATTTTTGAAGAGATGCAAAAATTAGTTTGACTGCTTAAGTGCACAGTGATCAATCAGTGAAACTTTTTCTTTAAATTTTGCACTTTATAAAAAAGGTTTGCGACAAATTTTTTATCTGTATTCTTAACTTTTGTTATAATATCATCAATTGAAGACAATATATTTTATTTGTAAATTATTGTATTTCATTTATGTATTGTGAAGTAGTGGAAGTTTTGCAGCCACAGTTCGCAAATGTTGAGGATAGCCCAACCACATCAATTCGGCATTGGAATTACTGCACGAGCCATTTGCTGGTCGTGTAATTTCTCGTTTTGGAGATCGGCATGGGCCGCCCAGATCATGCGATATAACGCCTTTGGACTTTTTCCTTTGGGGGCTTTTAAAGTCACAAGTTTATGTAAACAAACTAACAACGATGGAAGCCATAAAAGATTAAATTCAATGCTGTATCTCTGAAATACCGCAAAATTTATGCCCAACAGTCCTTGAAAATTTCATGACAAAAGCACGTCTGTGCCAGCAAAGCCGAGGCGGCCATTTGTCCGAGGTCTTATTCCGTTCATAACCTCATGATGTGTACTTAATTTTTCAATAAATATCTCAAACTTATGCCATAAATATATGTGTTTTATCTAAAATTTAAATTCGTCGTTCTTATTGGAACAGCTCTTATTTGCAATTCGCTTTTATTTAACTCTCAAATAGCCTACATTCTTGTTATAACGACATACTTATTACTGGAATTCATCTAAAAGCTCATCTCGTATTTAGCTCCCAGGGCTATTAAAGTAATCCTGCCACAACAGTTAAGGTTTGGATGCCTCGTAAATTGAAAACGTATTAAAGTTTGCTTTCAACTGCTGCCTACTCCAAAGTAACTTCCGATTTTATTCCGAGAATAAAATATTACTGAATTGCATTTTCGTAACAGCGTCCGACAATAAGTTGAGAGAGCATTTATTCTCGCATTCCATACAGAGTATAAAGAGCTGAAAATTGAACAGAAAGTTGCATAATCCCTAACAACTTTAAATATCTCCGACGCTGAATATAAATCCGTGCGTTATGTTCAAAGTTTGAAAATTTAACATAGTATGATTCTATCAACACCAGCAACATAAAGCAAGTCTGATCTTTTGATGTATCCAAGGCGTCTCAACAAAAGTTTGAAAGTTTAATGCCAGCGCATTCAATTACAATTTAAGACATTCTCGGCACATTAAACTGTTTATTAATGGCAAAGTGCAGTTTGCGCCCTGGCGCACGTGAAATTATTTGATTGCGGTTTCTTTAAGCTCATGACCATTTCTTTAGCGATTCACATTGTTGTATTCTTCAGCGCTAATAGGATTTTTCAACCAACAAATTATGGATAACAAAAATGTATAATTTTTTGCGTACTCACCGCTCTAAAACCTATGCTCTCAGTAGAACCATTTCGGTGACACTTGTGATGCATTTGTTGAAATTCAAGTACATTTCATAGCGCTTATACCTACATAATTATTTTTGAATAATTTATTTAACTGATTCGTATGATTTTTTCAGTGTTTATAGTATAGAACATCTGCCTAAATCTGAACTTATTTGCGGTAAGTCCAAAAAACTGATTTATTTTTTATGAGAACGCATTTCTATTTCAATTAAGCAATCTTTAACTCATATAATGCAGATGATATCACAGATTCAACATTTTCATCTTTGCAAACCTCTAAATTGCTTTTGATTTACTTTCGAACTAAAACATTATTTTCATAGTCAGCATATGAAGAAGACGGCTTCTTATTTGAAATACTCAATCGCTTCTTCTATCCACAGCGGATCCATATCCGATCCACATCGGAATTACCGAATCCGCCTGAAAATATCGTCCATGAAAGCGAGTTGACCGACCTGATTACTGATTTTCAAAAAGAACACATGGAAGCAGCAATATTACTGAGCTTAACCCAGATAGTCACGCGAATAAAATTGCTGGAGGTTAGATAACTTTTGCTAACTATAAAAATAATGTATTCTGTTTTGGCTTGTTATGAATTATGTCGTTTTATTGGGAACTGCATATTAAATGAAACACTGTTTACTTGAATAAATTCAGATTGTGCCTATGATATGAAAGATATTGATTTGGAAATACAGTCAAACTATTTTCAATTTTCGATATATAACTTTTGCAACAAACCATCGAAGTAATTGCAAAAGTGCACACTTAGACTTAACTACAATTGGATCGGCGTCATTGAGCTTGGTGTCAAATAAAAACATTTTAGCTGCATTTATCTTAAAGGCGGTTATTATATAAATTGTCTGTTACACTCAAGCACTAACTGAAGCGCTTTCTAGTGTGAAATTGTTTGTGATAAAAATCGCCTATTTTGATGTGATAAATAACCAATAGTGGTTTAGAAATTGTTCCGAAGCTGTTAAGTGTAAGTAGCAGGAGAATTGCAATCCAATTTCAAGTAAATTACACAAACGCCCTTGGGCTTCCGTTCAAAATTGTGTTAAATCTGTGTTCTCTGAGCTCTAGTCCGGCGTCGAAGGCGTGTTCAGCATAGTTAATATTTGTCCAGACATTGATGTAGTTTAAACAATTTCATAAATATCTGTAATAGTTATAACGAAAAATCTAGTGATATCAAATTACTTACGAGAGTTTGTCATTCAACATAATGTTGAGTACAGGAAGACGTCTCAAAATGTGACTAATTTCATTCATATTATTTGTTTGAAACTATGACTGATTTGTCTGAATTCACTAAAATTATGTCTCCAATAAAATCAACACGAATTGTATTTCTATTTTTTCGGATGAAAGTTAATAATTGTAGGAATTTTCAATCTATCTTCTAAAATAATTCTGCAGTTTCAGTCTTTTTCAAGTTCTGCTGTTTTCTGCAATCCACACATTTTAGAAACGGATACTCACTAAACGTGAACATATTTTTATATTTTTGTAATATTTCAGTTTGAAGTTTTCACTTCATTGGATCAACCTAATACAGAAACTAGTTAGTTCGACCCGCCATTCCAAAGAATGTCTTCGTGACCATTTGCAAGCATGAGTGGCGTTTTTCCTGAAGAGGTGTGAACTAATTCTTGTGATTGAAACAAACAGACAACAATAGTTCAATCCAAGCTTGCGAACAAAACTCTATTGAGGATTAAACGTTCAAAAACTTGCCAGATTGAAGCAATGGCCTCGAAAGACTATTTCTTTCGATCCTTCATTTGACAATGGGAAGAGTTTAATGAGAAAGAAAATATCAACCATTAAAGTTCTATATTCAAATTTTCTTATGAAATGTTCGATTAAAACATTGCAGAGGAAGACACTTTCATCATATATTACATGAACTGATTCAAATATTGTTCGATGAAACACCCACTCTATCAATTGCCTTTAAATTTGTATCACACCATTTTCTACTCTTAGTGAAATGTGAACCAGTTATACAGAAACGTGTATTTCCGAATTATGCCTAACGAAAAATTTGTTTTTCTTTCAATAAGATAATCTTTAAAGGACACTTTTATAACTCGTGATAAAATTACTTCAAAATCACTTCAAAATTGGTTATTGTCTTTACTGTTCATTTCTTCTTGCACTAGCTTTTGAGGAGTGTTCGCAGTTGGACACTTAGCAAGAAGCCAACATTGTACACCCGAATATATTTAAAAAAATATTGTTATTGCATAGTCCATACATCTTTAGATGCAAATTATCCTTTTAAAATTTAATGTCTTACACCTTCTCCCACTAACATATCAATGCTCAAAGACTTCGAAGACAACTTTTAATATTGAAGAAGCCTAAGTCTAAACAAGCGTTACCACAAGAGCAGTAAACCAAAACCGCCACAGTTGCTATATGAACTTATCAAATGTTAAAGCTAGATTTTCAAAGGTGAGCACTGCGTTTTTTGTGTGGGAAAAGTCCATTAAAAGTCCAGAAACCGTCCTTTGTGGTTGCTTTATCGTCTAAAATTGGCTGGAACCCAAGCTAAAGAAAACTGCTTCGTTGCGGGACGAAAATATTTTTCCCGGTTTGAAAAAAAATCCTACGTTTGTTAGATTTTTATTGATGACAGGGCCTTAATAAATCAGTCTTAATATCTGAAATAGACATAAACAGAATCAATTTTTTCGTTGTAAGTAACTACACAACATGTGCCATCTTTGAATTGAATACATATTTGGTTCGATTACGTATGGAAATTGCATATATGAAAAGAAGCTGCTAGACCTTTAATTAAACATAAAAATACACACATGTAGAAGTGCGCACAATGAGATTTCCCTCTACATTTACAAAACCATCTAAATCCTCTTATGTACCATTCTCACTACATCTTTCTCTTTCTAGCTTAGAATAGCTAACTTCCAATAAGTAACGCTACATAACACTAAACTAAACTGCTAAACCCACTAAACTAATATAGTTCTGATGATGTGTGAATACAATAAATATGACCCCCGGACAATTGCTTGTACTCAACATAGCGGAAAGTCGTAAATCTTCGGTGAAAAACATAAGGAAAAACGGCACCAAATTAGATTGTGCAACGCGCATTGGATCACTGACTCCATGATTTAGGTACGTACGGTGAGGCCAAAGGATTTTATGCCAGGAAGTTTCCAGGAACATTTTCAGGAATATTAGGGAAATGTAATGTTGTCGGACGATTTAATTTACGACTCCCTGAAACAGTTGTTTAGGTCTTTCGACAATATTTGACTAGGTAAAGTGGTTTTTGGGGTTCCGTGAGTAAGTACTTTCAAGTATAATTCCATATTCTTGCATTTTGTCCTGGCATTTTAAAATTGAATGATTTGTCACACTTTCAACTAGAGGAAAGTATTTGCCTCAATGACTAGTAAGCGCTATAATTGCAGCTACTGATCAAAGTTTTGATGTCCAATTTAGGTGTCGGCTAAATTCAAGTTTCGTAACTTTAAAGTGTAATCAGAGCAACGATTTTTTACGCAATTAATTCTGAACTTTAATAACTGCTACAAAATAAACAACAATGTGTAATATTGGTAAGACATAGAACTTCTTCTATGATAAAAACGAGAGTCATTTATGTTTGTTTTACATTATTTGGTATTAATTGTAATTAAGCCCCAAACATGGAAAAAATATTGCAAACGCAGCTTACCTATTCATACACCAGAATCTAGATAATTAAAACTATACCAAATTTACGTTTTTGCATTTTTATGTTAGTTTCATGCAGTTTAATCTTTATAGAGTGACTTATTGTACCATTTTTACATGCATATTTGTATTTTCTACATTAGATTATTGGCCTGTTCTAGCAAATACAATATCTTACATGTTACGCTTCACAAGAGGGAATTTTTTTATTACAGTGTGAGCTATAAAAGTTTTTATCAAATATATCACTGTTAGACCTGATTTATTTCGAGCATGCCCGTTGAACTGATTCTCAACTTATCTACGAGAGTATACTACGAGTACATAGATCATTTTAACGAACGCCTCCATTTTTCCAAGATATATATTTTGGAGTGTGAAAATTGGTCCTTAAACGCGTTTATTATTTATTCCGGATTTTTAAGATTTGTCTTTTGAATCCGTTGTTTCGTATGACCTAAAACTTTACATTCTCAGAAAATTTGTAACACATGTATTACCTATGCAGTTTTACTTTCAAAACTATTGTATTTAAATGTAAATATTTAGAGTTTTGATTTATTTTCCTAATTGCGTGTACTTGTTATGATATTCCTATCTTTCCTGGGTTTCAGTCAAAGTGTGAAGTAAAAATTTTTGAAACTTCGTTTATTTCATTACGTTTCGGCGAGACAACAACGCCACCATCAGATTTAAGATTTTACAGAAACTACAACCAGCAATTCACAATTAAAACATGTATAAAATTTATAATTTACAAAGTGTTATAACATTCATCAGTTTTTGAGGGGAAAAAAATTTTCCTTCTGGGAGAGCAAAACATYGGAAAAAAWTACCTCATGATTGGTAAAAATTAACATCCCTTTCGGTCTTTGCCTTCTTGAAAAGCTWGAGTTTGTCTGAATTATTTTCTAAATWTACGAGAGTGGTGCATGTATTGAGATAAGCAGAAATAGTTTTAATTTTTCACTAGTGTACCGGGTGTTCCATACTTATGGCTTTATTAGWGTTTGGTAAATGTTGCTAAGGTTGTCGGTATCTGATCTGAAATTTACTGCTTTTGCATGTTTTTTTATTTGTATCATTTCTTGGATTCTTCTTTTATGATAATTTGTTTGCCTAATTAATATATCTGCGTTGTCAAAATCAAAATTATATAACATTTGGTGTGCATGTTGTGTTAATGCTGTTTTATTTCACTAGTATTTCTCAGACTGTATTTATGTTCTTACATTCTCTTTTTGAAATATTGTTTAGTTTGTCCTATATATGTATTATCACATTCTAAACAATTCACTCTATATACAGTATTTGGTATATCCATTTTGTTAGTTTTTGGCTTTAGTTTTGGGAAACATTCAGTTCAGACTAGTTTTTTTTTGTTTTTTCCGCAATTATAATGTTGTGTGGCTTTAGTACTTTCGAAATTGT